CCGAATTAGTACCACGCATAGTAAGAGTATCATCTTCTAATCGAATTTGAAATAAAGGTGAAGGGTTGATAGTTAAAGGAACCATTTTTAAATAATATTTAATATAAATTTGTTTTTAAGATGTTTCTTAAATTAAAATTTGGAGTCTGGAAATTTTCTCGATGATAAAATTTCACTGTCTTTATAAAAAAATTATAAAATAGATTAATATAAATTATTAAATAAGAAATATATGAACAAAATAAAATAAAACATCACGTGTTGCAAATGATCTCAAATGACTTTTAAAGTGACATTATCACATGTTGATTTTACTACAAATTTCATATAACCTAGGTCATTTGAAAAAGTGTCTGATAACCCTCACACAACATTCACCACAACATATGATCTATTGAATTTTTTGATAAATACCAAACATTGATGAATTAATAATAGATTCTAACATCGAGTCTAAAGATTGGATGCTCATATAATTATAATGGGATTTGTTCATTTCAAGTCTTTCTTTTTTCGCCTTTTTAAATTCTAACAATTCTAACAAAATATCAATAACATATTTATCTGGATAATGTTCTTTGATATCATCTTTTAAGTGATAGTAATTATATTCAAAATCTAAAAATAATTGAGAAATTTCACCTATTGAGAAGGACTAGGATGCAACGTTTTTTCATTAAAATTTTCCAACATTCTAGTGATTTCTGCTAAATTATCTAATATGAAAAGTGGTCCATGTTTTCGATCATGAAATGGCTTACGTCCCGTTGTTAATTCCCACATAATCATTCCTAAACTAAAACGTTCTGGTGCCATATAAAGAATTACTCCATACATTTGAGGTTTCTTTCCCGAATTAACACTTACTCTTTGACTAAATCTAAATCAGAAATAAAGGCTTTAATATTGCAACTATGTATTTTTTTCTTATCATGAAGTAATTTAATTCCAATAATAATGTCACGAAATAAATCAATCTTTTTTCACAAGAAATTTTTAAATTTTTGTGTAAAAATGATTTAATCAAAATGTCAGTTGAAGTTAATAAGACAATTTGACGCAAAATTTTCTGGAAACAAAATTTTTTTAAAGGTCTGGTCATACGCATGGGTACGAAAGTACTTAAAATTAAATATACAAAGTTGTTAATGTAACAGCCCATGTAGTTCCTTAAAAAAAAAGTTTTGCAATAAAGATAAATGAGATATATATGTCAGATTAAAACCAGCGGAATTTAGAAAAAATAAAAGTACCACGAAAAAAATTTTAGACCGAAAAATTAAGCCTTGCTAATTATATTTTATTTTGTTAATGATGATAATGACAAGCAATATACTATAATTATATTTACATATGCATTTAATTTATATTTGTTTAATGTACTGTATATTAAATGGGGCCATAAGCTGGTGGTAAAATATAATCATTAATTAACAAAGGAATTAAAGATATTGTGCTATCGTATGAAGGTAAATAATTATTATTATTACTGGATGATAAATTATTATATAAATTATTGTCTCTGGAAGTTAAATTATTATTGGAAGGTATTGAAGATGAAAAATCTTCGTTGATTTCTCTGTCAAAATAATAACTATTGTAGGTAGGAAGTGTATCAAGCATAGTTCCAATTGGAGTAATTATGACAGGTAAACTTGCTGTAACTTCACGGTAATCCTTATGTTTAATTTGAAATGCAACATTAAATCTTATTTTATGTTTGATACGAATTTGGTCATTTTCAGAATCTGCTAAACACCGAAACTTTGGAATTGACATTTCTTCATTTTTAATCCAAGTTTCATTATCAAAAAGAATTACTGATGAATATTTCTTTATATTAATTATTATTACTTCTTTCATGGTTTTCGTTCCAATTTTATGGGTTCTGTGCTCTTCAAAAATCAAATTAAATCGACGAATATTTATTCCTTTTATTAAAGGTTTCATAATAAGTTCTACTGGAATCTTATCATCAAGGCAGAAATATCCTGTTCCGATTGAAAATTCATATTCAACTTTATTCTCCCATGAATTAATAAGAACAAAACTTTGCAGTAAATTAAAACAATTAGACATCAAACATCTATTGATTTGGATTTTACGTTTAGTATGAATATTTTGTGAGAAAGTTGGTCTTTTTAAGGTAGCTTTAAGGTTATAACGAATGTAACTTCTATTACATTTTTCAATCGTTTCTTTTAATGTTCCGGGAAGGATTAATTCAAAATTCCAGCAATAATTTGCCGGCTGAAGAACATGATATTTCTCTTGCGCAGCAAGGAAAACCCAATCATGTCTATATAATATTCTCTTTTCGCTTGTTTCTATAATATTACCTAAGTAAAAGATAATATATACAGTATATGATTGAGTATTGTGAGTAATGAATAACATAAGAAATGCTCAAATTAAAATATTCAACATTACCACTATTCCACGCAATTTTTGATTTTCCCTGAAATGTTAATTTAATTTCTTCGGTATTGATAGGCTTTGTAATTAATAACACGAGTTGTCCGCGTAGAACGCAACCTACAGATTCCGTAAATGGTCCTCTCAAAGTTAAACTATCTTGTTCTAAACGAATTTGAAATAAAAGTGTCATTATATGCTGTTGATATAAAAAAAAAGAATTACTTTATATTTAGATATTCTTTAAAAGACTTAATTCGGAAAAAAAATTCTTAAATGTGTTATACTAATATATTATTAAAATTATTGTGTGTGTCTACCTTTTTGACTAATTTAAGCAATATATTTGTAAATAATCTTTTTTTGGAATATTTTTCGGCCAAGATTTTTCCAGAGACAGATAAGGGAGAGAATGCTTGAATTTGGTAAGATGTTTACAATTAAGGAAATTTGTTGTATTGTTTATTTGGTTACTTATTGTTATTATTGTTGTGGATTAACAAAATTAATCCACCGAGTTTCAAAGTTTTCAGGAATTTAAATTTAGATTACAAAATAATCTAAGTTTGTTAATTGGAGAGTTTATAATGCAAATTTAAATGTCTTTGTCAGAAGATTTCAGCAAAGCTGTATTAGGTAGAAAAGACGATTTAGAACTTGCGGATTGCATATTATTTATTCAACCAGCTTAAAACGCGTATTTTAAAGTTTTTAATTGCATAAAATATCTCTGAAAATAAAAGACAAAAAAACATTTTCACATGAAGTTTGATACGACCAACTCCAGGTACAGTTTTAAACTCAAATTATTTTAATTCTTTACATAAAAAAGGTTTATCGCATAATTTTATTTGTTATTCTAACCAAAAATTCTTTACATAAAAAAAGTTTATCGTATATATTAATTTTGGCAATTCTTTGACTTTCTTAGCGACAACATTCCTATAATCCAAAATACAACAAAGAAATTTTAGAACCTTCCTGACAGAACCTTCCATTTATCTCAACTGACTATTGTTAAACAATTTCAAAAAAAAAAAATTAATAAATAAAATATGTATTAATTAGAGTGACTACACGTCACGCACTTTACAGACGAGACTTAGATGTGTCGTGTAAATAATTTCACATAAAAAATGTAGTGTGGTGTGTGTCATAATTAATGTTATGTAAATTTAATAACTTTATTTGTTATATTTATGAATGGACAATTGTTATTAAAATATATTAAACATGAAACAGATTCTATAGGTCTTATTGAATTTTAGCATATATATTTATATGTATATGGTACTAAAAATAATTGCCTGTATTACACGCTAAGTTTTTTTTTTCAATCAAAAACTTGGAAAATATGATTCAGAAAAATATATCCTTGAAGATTGGAATAATATTTCATGGTATTTTTTTGTCTGGTAATTTTTATAAAACTAAAACATACAGTATGTCAGAAACAGAAATAATAAATTGACTTATTTGTCCAAAGAAGGGGGATTACCTTTACTCAATGTCTTTACATCAAAGTCACAGAAGAAAGAGTAATTAATAATAGAGAAAAAGGTGAACATCCCATTTTGAGAGAACTAAAAATCAACTTTCAAGAGAAAAGAAAATAATACAGTAAATAATATAGAATAAAATGTATATCATATTTTTATTAATTCCCGGAGTTTAAAAATATCATCAAATGTCATAGGTCATCATGGGTCATACACGTGAGACATTACAATTAAGAAATGGACTTTTCTCAAATATCTGTACCCTTGACGTTAATATAATAGAGAAAAAGAAAACATCCCATTTTGAGAGAACTGAATCAACCTTCAAGAGAAAAGAAAGTAATAAATAAAATGTATATCATATTCCCGGAGTTTAAAATAATACACGTCATCAGTCATCATGGGACATGCACGTGAGAAATTACGATTAAGAAATGGACTTTGCTCAAATATCCGTTAATACATATATTATATTACTTGATAGAACTATTGTCCTGAATAGATATATAGATTGAAAAAGAATTTTAAAAACCAATATTTCAAATATTAGAAATTCAAATAATAAAAATTAACTAATATACTCGATTTTCCAAAATTCTAAATTCTATTCTGACTATTTAATATTTGATAGTGAAAAAGAAAAGTTATTATAACATATATCTGTAATAATTTTTTTATTTAATTTATTTAAGAATATCTTGAAGAAATTCTATGTTTTACATCAAATTTTTTTTAATTACTAAATCACTGTACAGGTTAGAAACAGGTAATAACCGTTTACATCGGGATTAGTTAAATCACAGCGTTGACCCTTTTGAATACATGTAAAGATGGATGCAGTGATAGAGGTGGCTATGGAGCTTTCGATGGATGTAATGTGGAGGTAAAAGTGGTAATTTAAGTGGAAATTGGAGTAATGGTTGTGGTACAAACTTTCGGACATGGCAAAGTAAATGCGTGAGACGATCTTTTCGCATTTGTTATTGCTATGGTAGATATAGCGAACTTCACTATTATTATCAGGAATGTAGATAATATTATTATATTATGATGACAGTGATGGTAGAAGTGATGGTAGATATGATGATAGTCGGCGATTCGATGGTGATGGTGGTGATGAAAAGTTTTGGGCAATTCGTGGGAAATAAATGTTGGGAAGTTCTTCTAAATTTAAATGAGCTACTTTAAAAATGGGGTAACATACACAGTACATATAATACCAGAAAATTTTCATGTAATAACGTGAACGTGAAAAATTATTTTTTTGCTAACAATTCTCTTCTTTTTTTTATCAAATCTCTATGAAATATGATATCTCCACTTCAATAATGTTATTGAATTGACCATTACCATTAAATTGTCGGGATTTGTTCAGTCTTATGTTAACTTTAATATTTTATGTATTTTAATAATATGAGCATATGATTTATCCACAACTTTATTTTATCATTTTTATATTTTTGTTTTATTTATGCATAAATAAATTTATTATATAAAATAATATTACAATTTAAAAAATCAAAATTAAATTCTTGCACAGAAAATAAAAATGAAACTTATATTCTTTTTTATATTTTTTATTACTTTACTATGTATATAAGAAGCCTGGGATTGCGTGTCACATCACAGAGTTTTTTTATAACGAATTCTTATATATCGGTCTAAATAATTAATTTAATCTTTTGCAAAGATCCACGTAGTACCTCTTTGTTTGATATTTTTTTAGCCTCGATAAACAATTTTTATATCATTAATAGTTTTAGATTTGAATTCTCAAGTGGTAAACGTGGATCATTAATATCATAGGAAGATAAATTACAGAAATTACAGATGAGAAAAAAAAAAGGAAAGAAAATGGCAACTAGAAATATGAAAAGATATCTATAAGTGCTCTTGCTCATGTTTATATTTTATATTTATTTTAGTAATTTATTCTATTAATTTAAATGAGAGAAAGGAATCAACGAAATACTTAGCTGAAGCACTTTAACAACAAGAGTTATTTGACTTTATATTTTTCACTAGCAAACAATTTATCAATTATTTTTATTCCATGATAAATAATAATTGGAATAATATTCTTCCATGTCATGATATGCTTTAAAACTACTCCATTATTTTAAAGTAAATTGACTAAACTATTATTTTTAATTAATTTTAACGATAAATTAATAGTGAATTTAATTTTAACGATAAAATCAATATGATATTTTAATAAATATAAACTATATCAATAATATTTTATTATTTAACATAATTTTATGTTTGATCAAGTAGTAGAAATCACATTTCGTGCTTAATCTTGAAATTTTTCTAATTTTCGAGGATGAGGATTTGTTTCCAAGAAAAATAATTATTTTAGTTTTTAAGGAAATCGCTCTTTTTGGAAAAAAAAGGAAATGATCATATTTTTGGATATTTTTTCGCGTTGGAATTTTTTTTAAGTCACTGCTGCATCAAGTCTAAAAGTTATGAGATACTCTTTGCATTCTCGTTTTTTGATTTTTAATAAAAAAATAAATTTTTTAAAAACGGTTATTTTGTATTTTTGAAAAACCATTTAACATCGAGATAACAAACTTTCCAAGATTTCATCAAAGAAGTAGTTATGTACAAAGTCGAAATATTATCAAAACTTGTTGAACAGAAAATAATAATAAATTAAATGAATCGATGACAGGCGAGTTATGGATTCATTGTATATTTGATACACTTGATGCCTTTGATTTGATTTAATATATTTGGAGGCGTAACTGGTTGATATAATTGAAAATGGATGGTTATCTAGAAAAGGATATTATGTCGAGATCAAAGGTATAATATATTATTTTTTTTATTTAGATCCAAATAATGGCCTTTTTTTATTACAGTTAACAATGAAAAATAAAAAGAAAGAAAGGTAGTAAAATTGAAAGAAAGAAATTTTGAAAATACACAATATATAAAAATAAATATAAACTAACTTTTCTGATCAAAATTTAAATTCTAAATATAAAATACGAATTTTAATACAATTAAAGGATTTTTCGTAACCTTGCAACTTAAAAAATCTCGGTATAATTTTTTACAAAAGTACAAAAATTATATTTTTTTAAGATAATAAGATCTTATCTAATTATTTTCGTGATTCCACATCAATTCCAAATAATAATATTAATAAAAATAAAGATATTATAAAAATAAATAATAAAGATCTTATCGTGGAATCCATCATTAATCCAAGTATTAAAAAAAAGAGAGAGAGAGGGAATCACGTAAGTAAGATTAAAAATATTTATATTTTTTACCATAGAATCCATTATCAATTCCATGACATCCCAAAAAATCAGGTAAGATACAAAAGGATCTACCTTATTTATCCGAAATTCGAACCAAAGATAATTAATTAATAACTTGCTAATTTAGGATTCAATTATTATTAAAATATTTCGTATTTCTAAATTGTATAAATTAAAAATTCAAGCTGACTTTTTTATTATTACCAATACCAATAATCAATAATTAATCGCGAATCCGATTTTCGCGCCTATTTAGTCGTGAGGTATACCTTACCTCCTCCGCCTCCTAGATTATTAAATAAAATTTAAATATAAATAATCGTCATCAAAATACAAATTAAATAAAAAGAAACATGAAAATGATAGTAATAAAAAAATTAATATAAAAATTAAAAATTACGTAATCCAAATAGAAATATCACTAATCCGTAAAGGTGAAAAAGGAGAAGTCTTGTGGTACCATCATTTAACAAGGAATCAAAACGTCAAATCATTAAAAAAAATTTTTTTTTAAAAAAAAAAACGAGATAAAAAAAAAGGAAATTCAAACAAAAAAAAAATTTAGATTAAAGTTGATTTATTTTAAAATGATTTAAAATGAATGAACGATGTTATCCCTTAATCTGTCAAGCGGGCAAATTTTCCCGCTAAAACATAGTAGCATGTGAAAACTGACGGTTCAAGAGATAATACAATTCTCAGTAAAATTAACGGAAGTTAATAATAGGCGGAAGATAATGTTGTGTGATGTGAAGAAGAGAACGATTCGCGTTCTTTATCATTAAAAATTAAAGTGACACAATGAAAATGCTTTGATTATTGGTAAAAAAATTTTTCTCATCATAAAGAAAAAATTTTTTCTTTTTTTTTGTGTATTATTATCTAGTGTTATTATTTAATTAAAATCTTTATTAATTGCTAGTCCATATATGAATGATAGAACTAATTGAAAATCTTTTTCTACATAATAATTTGATATTAAACACTCCAGATAACATGTTTTAGGGGCAGCGCAGAAATAAAATTTTGGAATTTTAAAATATTTAAATAAACGAATTAATCTCAAAGTTTTTCAATTAAAAATTTCAAATGATTTGGTTAAAAATTGGTAAACTTATCTATGAGGGGTAATGAGAGGAAAAAAATTTCTATCCATCAAACGCGGATCGGCAACCAATAACATATTTTCACCACCAATAAATTTTATAACATTAAATTTTTAAAATGATATATGTTTTAATGTTATTATAATTATTATTACAAAAAAAAATGACCACGACTATCATTTGCGTAATCATACTAGGATACACAAGAAAACAAGGAAATGTTGCGTTGTGTAAAGCATAATACGCCACCCACCACAAAAAATTCTAGACCACACCATTATACAATGAAAAGGGAATGTTGGCGTTTAAATATTGTAGAAGAAAGGATATATTAAATTAATTTAATTATAATAATACGACTTTTGTCTTAGTGTATTATTTTGTGGCGAAAAAAAAAAAAAGAGCAAAAAAGGCATAATAATTATAATAAAAGTCGTCATGTTTGTTTGTTGCCCATTTGCTTAATTTATCTTTTATTTTGGGTTTTAAATATAGAAAAAGAATATGAAGTCAAACAAATTTAGGTAAAAAAATATGGGGAATGCTTGGTATTTTTTGATGCAATGCATAATTTTTTTTTTTATAATTTTTTACAATAACGATTTTTTTAATAATAATAATAATTTTTAATATTATTGCAACCAAAGATGGCTTTTAAAAGATATTTTCCAAAACTTACTGTTTGTGCAAAAAAAAAAAATATATCCAATAAGATTATAATGAATTTCATGCAATAGTTTTTAAATTTTTTTTCGATAATTTAGGGGCAGGGGAGAATTTTTTCGAAACAGTTGTTAATATGTAATTTATTTTATTTTTTTTATAAAAAATATGCGTTAATTAATATTGATATATAAAATTATAATAATAATAGTAACAATAATATGTATTTACAAGAAATTTATTAGTTTTTATATGACTAAAAAATAATGATTATACTATTTAATGAATTTATGAAGAAAATGTAAAGAATGAAGAGTAACTTTTAATTTTAATAAAGAAAAACAACTAGAGAATTAAATTAATTAATAAATATAAAAACTTTTGAATTTATGAATTTTTTTTTTTAAAATAAAAAGTAATCGCAACCAGGCGATACATATTCTTTTTGCGTAATTATTTTTGGTAAAAAAAATTTTTATGCGTAGAATGAAGAATTAGAAGTACAGAAGTAAAGAAATTTCATATAAAACATAAAGTTAATGACACAAAGTTAAAAAAAAAATCATGAAACTTGGTCACTATAAATAGGGGGCAATGATGAATCCGCAAGAGGAGCAGGTATAGAAGAAGCTATGCTTCGATAAGAAGGTAAAGAATTCAATTTTGATTCATCAAATAATGATTTTGGATTAATAATTTCAAGAAAAGAATCTGTGAATGAAGAAATAGAAGATAATGATGATAGAGAGGTTGACGATGAGGAAGGTGAATATGATAGAGAAGTTGTCGACGAGGAAGGTGAAGATGATAATGATGATGAAAGAGAAGGAATCAAGTCTTCAACATGAAATTGATCAAGATAATGTTCTCTATATGCAGGTAACATCATACGATCACTATTAGAAGAAACTGGAGTGATTATAATTGGCAGGTCGGCTTTTATTTCTAAATTATTCTTATCTTTCTCATTACCACTATTATTAAATATGACACTAAATTTCAATTTATGTTGTATTTTGATAATTTTGCTTTGAGAATCATAACGACATAAAGAAATTGTATCAGGTAAAATAATTTCAAAAGTTTTATCCCAAATTTGATTGAAATCAATTTTCATGTCATGATATTGACGAATCATTCGATTTTCTTCTTTAACTTGAGTTCCAATTTGATAAGTAATATATTCCATTAATTTACAATTAAATCGAACGATCGATAAATTTTTTTCTAAAGGTATTAAGGTCATATGTATAGGTATTCTATCACCTAAAGCAAAAGCCTTAGAATCGGTGGTAAATTCATAATCGATTTTATCAGTCCAGGTATTTACTACGATAATACTTTGCATAGAATCAAATTCTTCACAAGATGATAAACATCTTTGTATATTAATTTTTCGTCGAGTATTTAAATTAAAGGATAATTTTGATCTTTCCGCCACAGCTTTTAATCGATAATTAACATTTCCGAATTCACAA